CTGATTTTAGTAGGCCTTGCTTCCAAATAAGTAGGATTACAGATATATTTCCACCCTGAAGAAAAGCTGACATTAGGAGAGATCTCAAAGGATGGTTGAGGCAGCTTGATAAATTAACAGATTTCCTGAGGCCTTATTACTGAAGATATATGTGGACAGGATCAGGAAATATAAAGGAAATTAATAGGTATAGTCAAAATATACATTACATGTAAAGGGAGAATTTTAAATCGACAGGAATATGCCAGAGGATTTTGCTCTGCACTGCTTAGGGAGACAGAAAAACTGCACATACGACATATCTTGAAGATGCTAAACAGGGAAAATCAGGAGAACCTGAAAATACCTTCAGTCAAAGAAAAAAGTTAAAGCTACTTCTAAGCTGTGTTTTAGAGATGTAACTATCAGCAACAGCAGACACATGAAAGTAGGAATAGGCTGAGTGAAAAATTGAGGTGCCCCATCTTTATGCCATTTCTAACCTGATGATAGTCAAAAAAAGAACTTGAATTTCAGGCATATTGCTCCTGTTTTCAGGAGTACTAAACAGGCTTCATGGGATAGTGTGGTTCAAGTTGTTTGTGGATTGAATTTAGCATTTGCACAGATGTACAGACAGGAGTGACTATGTTTGGTCATTCCTTGGCCAATTTTTTTTAATGTAAAAATTATAATGAGTAACATAACAAAAATCAGCAATACTTATATATAGCTAAAAAAAACAGGCAGAAATACAGAACCTGGCAAATTCATAAATTCAGGGCTGAGTTACAGTATGCAACTTATTCATATAAAGGTTAAGTATGTAAGGGTTACACTGTGTACTTTGACTTTTCATATTATAATACACCTTCTATGAAGATAGTTTCAGAGGATAGCCATGTTGGTCTGCAGTACAGTTGCACCTTAGAAACCAATAAGCTTTGAGAGTGAGGAAGGGAGCTTTTACTCTCAGAAGCTTACAACCTGAAAGTCTTGTTGGTCTCTAAGGTGGTACTGGACTCAAACCTAACTGTATTACAACATGTAGTTGCTTACATTTTAGTATTTCCTTATTTACTCAGCCTGGAAATAATTATATACAATTTTCATTACGTTTAACAAACAAGAAATAAAAGTAAAATTTGGCATTTGTCTGGTTTTTAATATCCAGCAATAAGATTTGTTAAAGAGAAGATACTTGTTCAGCCCTTACTCTTTTTAGCAAAGGGGGGGCGGGGCTACATTAAAAATAGTAGTAGTTAACTGCAAATGGCTGAAGGCTGTCACGATCTTAGACTAAAAATTAAATTTTGAAATTAAGAGCTTTGTTTAAGTATGACAACTGCAGTTCCTGCAGGTTGTACATTAAAGTCATCCCCTTAAGCTGCCATTCTAACAAGAAAGCCTTCCTTTGGCAAATTTTCATAAAACAAACAGCCTCTTAGGTCGTTGACAGTCTCAGCTTAAAACGTTGGCTTTTACTGGCTTTGCAGAAGGAATCCTGCTTCCTAGAACTCCCCAATCAAAAGAGTGAATGGCAGAGAAGGGGGGGGGGGGATATTAGCTTTGCCTTTAAACTAAATGAGAGCCCAAACAGGGAGTGGGGAGATAAAGGAATGTTGTCAATAAACGTGTTGCCTCAGAGATGGCAGGGGCAAATTGAAAGCAGAGCACAAGGCACGCACCTCATAGGCTCTCCCCTCTTTATGTGCAGCCTGGGAGAAGGGAGGGAAGAAGGTGGAGTTTTATTATTCTTTTTTTTCCTCCTCTCCTTTCCTTCGGAGCCAGTAATGAGCGTCTGTGCCTTTGAACTCCAGCTCTCCAGAGCACGGCTGCACTCGCGCTATAAATAAAGTTAAGGGCCAAGCAGAGGGCGAGCATTGAGCTGGGCTGAACGAAGGAGGAGGGTTTCCCGCTCTTTCCCCCTCCGCGCCTGCCGTTGTTTCTCCTGCTGGCGCCTTCCTAGAACTCCCCAATCAAAAGAGTGAATGGGAGAGAAGGGGGGGGGGGGATATTAGCTTTGCCTTTAAACTAAATGAGAGCCCAAACAGGGAGTGGGGAGATAAAGGAATGTTGTCAATAAACGTGTTGCCTCAGAGATGGCAGGGGCAAATTGAAAGCAGAGCACAAGGCACGCACCTCATAGGCTCTCCCCTCTTTATGTGCAGCCTGGGAGAAGGGAGGGAAGAAGGTGGAGTTTTATTATTCTTTTTTTTCCTCCTCTCCTTTCCTTCGGAGCCAGTAATGAGCGTCTGTGCCTTTGAACTCCAGCTCTCCAGAGCACGGCTGCACTCGCGCTATAAATAAAGTTAAGGGCCAAGCAGAGGGCGAGCATTGAGCTGGGCTGAACGAAGGAGGAGGGTTTCCCGCTCTTTCCCCCTCCGCGCCTGCCGTTGTTTCTCCTGCTGCCGCCGCCGCCACCCGCCCGCCATGGCCTGCGTGGACAGATGCCGCTGTTGCACGGACAGCAGGAGGCAGAGCAGCATCCTCTACAACATCCTGAAGAGCGAGGAGCAGCAGCAGCAGGAGGCGGGAAGCGGGCAGTCGGCCCCGCAGCAGCCGGGCCCGGGAGGACACGCGACGACAGGGTTAGGCTGCTCGTGCGGCTCGCAGAGGCGAGTGGCTCTCAAGAGCCCGCAGGTGGCGTGTAAGGCGGCTTCGGCCGTGCTGGTGAAGACGCTGCGCTTCGTCAAGAACGTGCCCTGCTTCCAGGAGCTGCCCCTGGACGAGCAGCTGGTGTTGGTGCGCAGTTGCTGGGCTCCCCTGCTCGTGCTGGGGCTGGCCCAGGACCGCGTGCACTTCGAGACCGTGGAGACCAGCGAGACCAGCATGCTGCACAGGATATTGACCAACAAGGGGCGCGACGACAACGACGAGGAGGAACCTTCGCCCGTGCTGCTTCGCAAGGCTCCCAAGTTGCTGGGGTCGCCGCCGCAGCCCTGCGGGAGCAGCAGCCCTAAACTGCCCTTAGTGGGGGAGATCCAAGCCATCAAAGGCTTCCTGGCCAAGTGCTGGAGTTTGGACATCAGCACCAAGGAGTACGCCTATCTCAAGGGGACGGTCCTCTTCAATCCGGGTAAGCGAGGGCACCTCTGAACCCAAGCTGCGGCGGCTCGACCTTGCAGAGGCAGGTTGGTTGTCCAAGGGGGATTTTGGTCGCCGCTTTCGACTGGCTGGGGACCTGTGGAGCAGATGTTAGACAGGTGGTGTTCTTCCCCATCATAGCATGCTGGGAAAGCACCTCCTGTTCCACTTCTGCCTGTTGGAGATGTGGGAGCTTGTCTTCAGGCTATGAGAATACTGCGTAGGGGATGTTGGGGTGGACGACTGCTGGTTCCAGTTATCTCTCTCAGGAGGGGAGGGTGACGGCTACCTCTGGGAAGTAGCGCCTAGAGACAGCGATTAATTTCTGAAATGAGAACTAAGAAAGTGCTTATTTCGTTCAAAGGAAGTCATCAGGTACCAAAGAGCACTGTAATTACATGAAACTTTAGAGAATGCAAAAAGGGTTACAAACCTACCTGTTCTACTCTGGAAGTTTTACTTTTTGCATAAAATATTTCATTTGGCTGGTTCTTTAAGCAGTAGCAAAGGTTGTCAAGCCTTAAATAAACATAATTCAGCACTGAATCAACATATTAAATATTGGAAAACAAAAATTAAAAAAGATTCTCTATTCCCTTACCTTAAGTTTGTCTACATTAAGACATAAGCATGTTGTACTTTAAAGAAAGGTTATGTCAAAAGCATACTTGTTTGATAGACAAATGAACTCACCAGGACAATTCTGGTTAAATCTGCTTGGTTCCAGGCTTCAAAGCTGAGAATGTTTTCATTTTATCACTCAGTGAAACTTGAGGATTTTATCTTAAATTATAAGAGTAAAGATTGAGAATTAGCAGCATCAGTGGTTTGTGCAGCATTGGCAACATTTTGTATACAGAATGTGTGGCATGAAGAAAACATTTCTTTTTTAGCCATGTAGGATCTTGTTGGTTGTGATGTAGATTAAGATGGTAAAGATACTATTTAAACCTGCCTGATGCATTCCGGTGTGGGGAATGAATAACCATAGTGAATTTTAAATAAATTATTACTGAAATTACATTTTGATACTTTTAAAACTTTTATTTTCAGAGCAAATTGTAACTTCAACAAACTCCATCATCTAGGGGATACTTATTTTGTAAATTCAAAGTTAATAAATATATAATACTATTACTTAAAAATAACAAAAGAAGAAAAATCAATGCAGCCTTATACAAAGTGTTCCAGATGAGAGACTTATAGTATAACACTTAACATCTGTTGTCAGATTGACCCAACAATGCTATTTGCTCAAACATTCTAAAATATTAAGATCTACACGAAAATGTAAAAATAGCTGTTTTCCAAATGTGTCTGAAATTTAGAAGATGGATGGGTTTTCAGAAGTGCCACAGAAATTTTTAAAGGGTGCTACTAGATTTTTTGAGCACACACACACAAGAACTAGCCCTCAGTGTATAATCCATTACACTGATTGCCATGGTTGAAAATGTAAAAACCTGGTTTCATGTTGACATTTTTAAAATCTGTAGAGTGAAACTATTGAAGTACAATTGCCAGTAGTGCACGTATATGAATAATATTGACAGTCAACCAGATCCTCTTTTCCCTTATTATTTTCATAACTTTAAACACTTGTTGCTAAAAATACATTTCAGAGGTCCATTTAAACTTACAGAATTAAATACATTTTCCAAATTGGTCATAGCTATGTGTACCCTAAAATCAGTGAGGGAAAGTCCATTTAATTTAATGGAATTCTGTCTACTGTACATGTACATTTAATGCATTTTAAACAGTGTATGTTAATATATTGGCATGATGATACTTCAGATTATTTATTAAAAGCTCTATGACATATGATTTTATTTTATGCTTATAATCTGTCAGCTAGCTGGCACAATTCTAAAAATCAGTTATCATATTATAGATAAAGTTTTTATGAACAGATCTCATTTTTCCTGTCTTCCAGAATTGCCAGGGCTCCACTGTGTCCAGTATATCCAGGGACTACAGCAAGAAGCACAGCAAGCCCTAAATGAACATGTCAGATTGATTCACAGAGGGGACCAGGCCAGATTTGCCAAACTGAATGTGGCTCTGTCCATGCTCAGATCTATCAATGCCAATGTTATTGCTGAACTTTTCTTTAGGCCCATCATTGGAGCAGTGAATATGGATGACATGCTGTTGGAGATGCTGTGTGCAAAGTTATGAAGTTTTGTGAGAATATATAATATATAATAATAGAACAATGCAACATGGAAGTCCTGCAACAGTATAGTGTAAAGTATTGTAAAATAAACTAACTTATTATTTTTACATAGATAGTATTTTTGTATTCAATAATAAAATATTCTTTGAGCTTTGACACTTAACTTTTATTAAATGAATGTGCCTCAGAGGCTTCAGTAAACATCTGTGTACCCTTAAAATTAATCACGCATTTAGTTTCCAAACTGAGTTGTCTATTCTGTTGTTGTTCAGTCCCACAGTCGAGTCCGACTCTTCGTGACCCCATGGACAACATCACTCCAGGCCCTCCTGTCTTCCGCCATCCTCCGGAATTTGCTTAAACTCCATTTAATTCTGTTATACCTGTCGCTTAAGCTTATAGTGATCAGTGCATGTTGTGTTCAAATCTAGAAACTTCTGTTTCCTTTCATACCAATTGTTGTTATAGTCCAACATTCCTCAGACACATGACAGATCAAACAAGGTGTAGTGGTTAAGTGTGCGGACTCTAATCTGGGAGAACCGGGTTTGATTCTCCACTCCTCCACTTGCGCCTGGCTGGATGACCTTGGGCAAGCTGTAGTTCTGATAAGAGCTGTTCTTGAAAAAGAGTAGTTTCTGTCAGAGTTCTCTCAGCCCCACCTACCTCACAGGGTGTCTGTTGTGGGGAGGGGAATGGAAAGGAGTTTGTAAGCTGCTCTGAGACACCTTTGGGTAGTGAAGGGTGGGGTATAAATCCAAACTCTTCTTCTAACGAAACAGTTATTTCATGGTGAGCAAAACTCCTTCTGACTTCCAGTTCCCCTTAAGACAACAGAAGGCTGATTTCCAACACCAGAATTTGGATCAGAACCACATTGCATGATTTTGCATATTGTTTAATTGACAAGTGGAGTATAGATATTTAAAATAAGAGAGTAACAATTTTCTGGCGTTTATCAAGATAAAAATCTATGATACTACCAGTCTCTCTTGTAAAAATGACTGTTTAATATATGTTTGAATCTTGAAGTATCTCAGTCAGGTGAATACGGTAAACAGCGGCAAGGTCAAAAGCACTGGTTTAAATGCAAACAATTGATTTCTTTCTTTTTTCTTTGGAAGCTGGCCACAGTAGCTAAATTCTCATTTCACTTATAGCTGTGGACAAAGCATCCTTAAATCAATGTCATTAAAGTTAAAAGGATTAGAATCCGGTCCTGCACATGCACATCTCGCTTTGTCTTATAAGCAACATTTTTTTTATGTTTGCTTGTATGTGCATATAACTAATCAGTTGTATGAACGGCATGTGATGTAAGAATTTTTCCGTCTTCATATAGACAGCTGCTTCGTGTAGAAGTCATGAATGTTTAACAAAGTAGAGAAAATATAAGAATGCAAAGCTTGCAAACCGAAATTAATTACATTATATAATAGGTCAACATTTCCCCTCAGACCTCTGAACCACACTTATAGATCATGGAAACAAAGTGATGTCAGGGCTCACTGGCAGAGCCTCTGCTTGACATGCAGAAGGTGATGTGAAAGACCTCAGCCTGAGACCCTGACGAGCCACTGCCAGTCTGAGTAGACAATACTGACTTTGATGGACCAAGGGTCTGATTCAGTATAAGGCAGCTTCATGTGTTCACTAGATGCAGTTTATTCAGAAATTAATAAATGAAGATTTATTGAACAAATGAAAGTGCTGCTGCATTTGATAAGGAATGTGTAGGGTACTACTGTCTTTTATAAATTCCATGGAGGAGACTCGAGACTCAAACTGAAGGTCAGGATCACCCCCATACTATGAACCTGCTCCTTCAGGAAGAGTGCAATCCCTGCCAGGACATGCTGGCTTGATAGTCCCCAAGTGGTTTCTCCACTGACCAACAGCAACTTAGTCTTGTCTGGACTGAGCTTCAGTTTATTGCCTTTATTCAGTTTATTATCCCATTGCCTTATCCAGGCACCCATTCAAGAGGACTTCTACAGACCCACCTTGCTTAGCTGTTAAGGAGAAATAGAGCTGGATATCATCTGTATATTGATGGCACTTCACTCCAAAACCATTGATGACCTCTTTCAGCAGTTTCTTGTCCTCCAGCACCACATTCTAGAATTGATTTCTCAATTAAAAGTGGAACAAGTGAAGCATAGTTCCTACTCCCAGCCAGCCTCTTCAGAAGGATACCATGGTCAATGGTATTCAAAGCCACTGAGAGCTCCAAGAGAATCGACAGGGACACACTCCCCATCACTGTTCCAGAAAACCTCTTCAGTCAGGGGAACAAGGCTGTTTCAATCAAAGCTAAGCCTGAATCCAAATTGAAATGGATCCAGTTAATTGGTCTCCTCCAAGACAGCCTGAACCTGTGCAGCCACCACCCACTCAAGCACCTTGGCCAATAATACAATATTAGCCACTGGGTGGTAGTTATTTAGGTCATTTGGGTCCAGGGATGTCATCTCCAGGGGGAGAGATGCAACTGCCTCTTTTAAAGTGGTTGGAACTACACCCTCCTGAAGAGGGACATTTATTACTTCCAGGACCTAGTCAATCAGCCTGGCCTGGCATAATTCTACTAGCCATGTGGTTCAAGGGTCAAGACTGGATGTGGTGGGTCCTCACCAGCTGAAAGTCATCCTTACAAATAAGACCAAATTGCACTCCAATAATATTCTGAGATTGAACCAGTCCAGCAGTGGCATATTAGTCATGGCAGATGCAAGTATTATCTGTAAAATGCATTGCAGAGGAATCACAGTTGGCTTGTATATTTTTGGGGTCAACACTTTCTGGGGCTAGAGATTAAAAGCCTCTTCACAATCTTGCAAAGTTCTACCAGACAGCTTTGTGCAGATGCAATGGTGGGAGAAAAGCGCGCTTTGCTGCCATCACTGCCCCAGCGTAGGCACAATAATGTTCTTTCACCTGTGTTTGGTCACATTCACTTTGAGGTTTTTCTTGACTTGCACTCTAGCCATCTTCCCAACTGTTTCATCATGCAAAGCTCCTCAGTAAACCAAGGGGATTTCCAGACTCCATGGAAGAAGAGAGGGCTCTCACGGAGCAATCATGTCCACAGCCTGGGTCATCTCTCTATTCCACAGGTCAACCAGAGCTGCAATAGGATGCCAGGCTTGCTGACCGGAATATCCTCAGGAGACATGAGGAACCCCTGTGGATTGTCTAATTGTCCCTCCACCCTTGCAGAGGTTATATGGCACTTTGTTTTTATTAAAATGTATATGTGTCAGCACGTGTCCCAGAAAGGGCATGACGGCATTATAAATTGAAAGTACCTAGCCAAATAAGACACATGGGAGTAACCTCCAAGCATTAACACTGCCTAAGTCTAAGAAGTGGGATTTTTTGAAGAACAGCAGATAATCACCTTAGAAATAAATGAAGACTGCAATTCTTGTTAGATTGCCCTGAATAACAGAGTGAAATCCAGGATGTAGTCTCTCCATATATCATATTATGTTCCTATTAACAGGAACAACTGAAATCTGTTCTTCTAAAGCCAACAGTTAATAACAGAAACCCATAATGCCGTACAATATTCAAAACTAGTTTGTATGACTTTCCTATGATGTTAGATTCAGGTGGGACAGCCGTGTTGGTCTGAGGCAGCAGAACAAAATTTGAATCCAGTGGCACCTTTTATTCACGGTATAAGCTTCATCAGATACGGTGGAACAGTGAGGATGGTTGAGGAGGTTCTGTTCCACTGTGTCTGATGAAGTGTGCTTGCACGCGAAAGCTTATACGATGAATAAAACTGTGTTGGTTTTAAAGGTGCCACAGATCTCAAACTTTTTCCTATGATGTGTCATGCCAGCTGGAGGAAAAGAGGCGTGGTATAGCAATCAGATCTCAGAAACTAAGTAGGGTCGGTACTTGGAAGAGAGACCACCAAGGAAGACTCTGCAGAGGAAGGCAATGGCAAAACACCTTTGCTTCTCAATTGCCTTGGAAGCGCCTTGCTGAGGTTGCCATAAGTCAGCTGTGACTTGACAACATTTTACATGCACATCATACCAGCAAATTGATAGCATCCAACATATTGTATTATATAACAAGCAAGAATCACCATGGTGCTATTGCAGGAAAAAATTTTAAGAATAGCAGAAACATTCACCTCACATCGGTAAGGGATACTTGCAAGGATAAGAGACTTCCAGAATATCCCTTTATTAAATGCACAACAGGGTGATGCAAATAGATAGGCTGGCTAGATGCCTCTATACAGAAAATGGGGTTTGTAACAAGGAACCATCACACAGCAGTAATATACAGCCCATGCTGATTGGGTATGGATGCTCATCCAACACTTTCAATCTGCAACAGCAATATAGATGAGTATGGATGGACACGAACCAGGGAAATGCAGTTTGGTTCATGGTTTGCGGTGCACCCATGGACTGTCACAGACAAAAAAAAACGTTTGTATGAACAAAACCAGTTTGGGAAGTTTGTGATGTGGTAGAAACCCCCCCCCCCCCAGTGTGCTAGAGGCACCAAACTCACAGTGCTGACTCTCCTCTACCTGCCCTCCAAGTCTGGTGAGGATTGGATTTACAGGGTCCGAGTTATGCCCCCCCCCCGAAGGTGCCCTCAAGAAAGTGCTTTCTGGGGAAATGAGGTGCAGGTTCAGGAGTGTATTGAATGGCCCCTCAACATGGTAGAGACACCAAACTTACAGAGTATCTCCGGCTGACCCTCCTCTACCTGCCTTCCAAGTTTGGTGAGGATTGGATTTATGGGATTTGAGTTATGCCCACCCTCAAGAAGGTGACCCCATAGGGGGGTAGCAAAAAAAGCAAGGGCAGAAGCCCAGCAGAACAGAAACAGAATTGAAGTCCTCGACAGGGGTCATTTTGTAGAAAAAGAGCTAGGGGAACTCATTAGCATAACTCATTAGCATATGCCACACACCCTGACATCAGGGGCCCGGCGGTGGACCTGCAAGGCCAGCAGGAGTGCGAGGAAG